GCAAAGAGGAGCTTCGTATGTACTATCTCATTTAATCCATGTAATGATTATGTTATCTAGAAGCAAAATATGAGAAGCTTTCTCCTTTGCATCCACGAATGAATTCATTCTATCATAGTTCTCAGTCTGTCTTCAAGGAAGGACAGATATTATCCCTTTATTTAAGAAATGGATGAAAATTCACACAGTTGCCCTAGAGCAATAAGGCTCAGTGAAGAAGGGTGGTCCACACCCCTCTAAGAGCAGGATAGGGGGATGTGGTTTTAAAAGGCTTACATTATAATACAATTGTGCACCATAATACTAAATTTGGTAATACTAAATACATAATACTACATTTCTACAAACTAGAAAGAGATGCTCAGAGATAGACTTTTTTCTCAAGATCAGTAATTCTCAAGAGAAAGAAGAAAATCCCCCTAGTGTAGTTGTCTGTATAATTAGTGTGAGAGATCTTTCTGTGATTTGTTTTGACTTCCCAGGACACCATAGTGAATTAAGGCAGAAGATCCCAGAATGCTGATTCCTCCACCAATGCTCCCCAAACCAGACCACCTCTGCCACAGACAGTCCCACTGATAAGAAATTATAATGTAAAGTGATCTTCCAGTAAACACATTAATTCTTCTTTCGTCTGGCATCAGTAAGTCACCATATGAGTTTTCCAAATAAACAGTGGTTATGCATTAAGAATTAAAAAACCAAAGGGAAAAAAAAGTCAATGTCCTGGTTGCATATCTTTCTAAGATATGTTATCCATGCTGTTGCCTTCTTAAACAAAGAGTGTTCGGGTTATTTTAACTCTTCCTTACCACTCAGGCTCATCACCATGACCATTAATTATTGGCCTGGGATGTAAAACCAGAGTGTGCTTGTCTCCTTTACTATCTATCATCAGACCATCTGTCACACACTCTAGGTACCAGCTCACATGGTCTGTCTCCTTACAATGTAGTGGAAGCTGAGAAACTGTGGGCAAATATTGAAACTCATTATAGCTTACCATTTTATGATCATTAATTCAAATCCCCTCATTTTGCTGATCTGAAGTGTAAGACTCAGAGTTAAGACTTGCCCAAGGTCACACAATGGATTGGAGTAGAGTTGCATCTCACTTAGAATTTTCAGCTCATAAAGAAAAATACTGTTTAGTCAAAATTGCCATTAGAAATTCCTTAAGTTAATCTGTAAGCAAAGCATCTACATTTTCTGTACTGTAATTCTTACATTCATTGAGGTTTGGGCACTACAAAGATAGATTGAGGAAATATGAAAAGGAAATTCTGCACATAGATTGTTGTCTATTCAAACCACATGCATTTAAGATAACCATCAAATCCAGTGAATGAGAAATGGACACTTTTTTTTAAGGGTTCTTGTTTCTCAATGGAATTTTCCTGTTTGATTTCAGAATTAAGCCTCTCTAACTTTACAGTATTTCAGTGGATGGTTCCCTCTGCTGAAAATGAGAGGATTCGAGTCTAAAACTCAGATGTGTGTTAAACACACCTGTACTACAGCCCCACTCGGGAGGCGTAGGGTTTACAGAAATACAGGGCTCCTGGCTCCTCTTCTGCACTTTTTCTCCTACAACTCCACTTCCTACTTCCTACACAACCAGCTCTGAGGATGACTTGCAAAACAGGAAAAAGGTTTGCTGACAGTCTTTCCAGTAGCGATCCATTGCTTCCTTCCTGTTCCTTCTTGTCCTCTTAAGTGATTAAGCTTGCTGCACAAGGCAAGGATTAGTAAACGAGAAGCCGTTTGAGGTACATTCACTCATTTTGATTAGCATGTTTGGCTACTTTTGTTTTCTCATAAACATATGGTAAAGCAACATGTAATGTTCCAATGATTGTGATTTCAAATCTAAAGTACTATTTGTTCAATCCTGAAACCTGAAACAAACATCTGGTGGTTCATGCTCTCAGAAAAAATACCTTAGTGCGTTTCCTCCGTCTGTGACTCAAGATCATGGGCAAAAATGAGTAGATGAGATTAAGCCAAAAAAGTTTGTTGGTCCATTCAATTAAAAAAAGGAAAAAAAGGACCAGGCTTCTGTGTTTCCTCTTGAGTAGGGAAGAGTCAGAGACCTGCTTGTGGTGATCTAAGAGTTCTTCCTTTCTGTCTCATCTTGCACTGATATATAAACTGTATCCAGTATATATCCTCCTATTAGAATAAACGATTTGAATGCTTCCTTATCTGCATCCCATATACGCTCAGAATTATTCCCATTTGTACATACTCTCAGGTTCATGTCACCATGTACTTTTGTTAATTAGAATTGTATCTCCTATATTAAAACTTCTGTGCCAATTTTTCATACTTTATTTTAAGATTTATTCTACCTCACACTTTCCATTACAAGATGACACTTGGAACAGAATTTAAAATAAAGATGTACTGTCCATTTTGCAATGTTGCTCATCTTTGGAAAATATATTTTGACTTTTTATAGGGGTAGTCTGTTAGTCTGTTAAGGCTTCCATAGCAAAATACCACAGACCAGATGGCTCAAACAACAAAAATGTATTTTTCACAGTTCTGGAAGCTGAACATCCGAAATCAAGGTGTCGGCAGGTTTGGCTTCTCCTGAGGCTCTCTTCCCGGCTTGCAGGTGGCCTTTCCTCTGTGCATACAAACTTCTGGTGTCTCTTCATCTTCTCATAAGGACACCAGTCCTATTGGATTAGGCCCCACCCTTATGACCTCATTTAACCTTAATTAACTCTTTAAAGGCCCTGTCTCCAAACACAGTCACATTGGGAGTTGGGGTTCAACATATGAATTCAGTCCATAACAGGTAGCGATGCTATTAATCAAACATTCTGTAATATCGACCTCTTGAGGAAAAAAATAAAATCTTAGGAAGGAAAGTGACAAAAGTATCATTTAACGTGATATCAAGTTATATGAAATATAAATTTATATGTGAACCATTTATGAGATATCATTTATCAGTGCATGCACATAAAATAACCCTTAACTCCGCTTTTTAGCCTGTCTTAATAGAATTCAAAGATTTAGCAAAGGAACAGCTCAAAAGACTAGCAATTCATACTTTCACATACTGTTTGCCAGAAGAGGCAAAGAAAGATCCAGAATCAGAAATACCAGATGAGACTGTGGTTCTTGCTTCTGTTCTGAGGTCAGACCTATAGATTTAGTCTTTATTCTCTGGAAGTTTGGCTTCCATGTTTTAAACAAGCCTGAGCGTGACTTAAGTGGCTTCAAAGTGCAGAGCCCAAGACGGAGCCGTTCCAGCACAAACACTCGATGAAACACAGGCTGGTGTGGTGCTGGTGCACAGTCGGAGCGTCCTTGTCCCCTCCCCAAGGACAGACCACACTAGTTTTTTCATAACACTGCTTTTTGTTCTGTTGGATCATTTACAGTGTTCCCATTCCTGAATTCTTTTAATGCTCTGGGTTAGGGTTGCCAGATTTAGTAAATAAAATATAGGATGCCCAGTTAAATTTGAATTGCAGATAAACAATGAATATGTTTTCAGTATAAATATGTCTCATGCAATATTTGGGACATATACAAAAAAATACATTCCTTCATGAAACATACTAAAAATAGTATTTCTTATTTCTCTGAAATTCAAGTTTAACTGTGGGTCGTATATTTTACCTGGCAACTCCACTTTGGGTTCAAGGATAAATCCTCCCCGTGCATCTCCCTTCCCCAGCTGGCCACCCTCTTACACTGCTCTCGCCAGCTGGGTAAATTGAACTTCCTGGTCTTAATTGGTGCTTCCTTTAACTTCTGCCCCAAAGCTGAAAGCCCCCGACTCCAGGCCTCCTGCATCAGGCAGCTCTTATGTTTGGTTGTGGATGCTCAGGGTTGAAACACTGAAGTTCGTTAGCCAAGCTCTCCCCCCGCTGCAGTATTGACTTCTGAGCATCAGGGCCACATGATACCCTAACAGTCGCAGATACGAAGGGCTTCAGAATGCGGGCGGGACCTCGAAACCTCTGGCCCCTGGACTCAGTCTGCTCACCTGTAAAATCAGGGCGCTGGATTCAGCGCACTGAGCCCGGCGGGAGACCAGACGGTGAGAGGTGTGTGCCCACGAGAGGGCCTTCACGCGGGTCCGACTGCCGAGCACCCTCGGCGAGGACCGGGCGGCCGGGGCGGGCGCTCAGGGCGCAGCTCCCGCTCTCTGCCGCCATCTAGCGGCGGCGGCGCCCTCCTCCGCTCAGCGGAAACTGCACGTCACAGGGAGGAATTGTTTTATTCTTGTCGTTACAGCAGAAAGGGATTTATAGAGTGTCTCAAGAGATAAAATGTAATAAATGCTGATAAAAAGTATAGCACAATAGCAGACTTTAATACCTGAACAGTATAGATTAAATTCGTGCAATTTAATCTCTGTAATATGTTCAAACGATAACTTCAACGCTGAAGAACAAAAAATATAAACTAGCCTAAAGTGTTCTAAAGAAACATTAGCCTTCTCAGGTGCACTTGCATAATGTTCAAGGATCGTTTTATTTAAAATAACTGTAATCACAGCAGATGGAAAGGAAATACAGTTCTGATAAACACTGACTTGGGAGAGAACGTCTCAGTTCTGTATTTAACCGTTTGTCTTGAATCAAGTTAGAACTTATTATCATTATTATTTATACATGCAATACAATGTTTAATGAGTGTTGAATGATATTTAGTTTTAATGTCCTATAATCTGGAACTTTCTTCAAGTGGCATGATAGTGGGTTTAATTGTGTGGATCTCAAGTGAAAATAAATTTCTCTAATGAATGAAATAAAATATTTCTGAAGTGTGACTTATTTCCCATTAAAGCTCTTTTCACTGAATAACTATTACAGGAAAATATTTCTGACATTTTAACATTTTTTTTTTATTTAAAATGCCAATGCTATCATGCAGCACTTAGATCCTTCTAACAAAAGATATTTAATTGGAATACCACTTCGTTTTTTAATACACTTGTGAGCCAGCTGAGAAATCTCCAATTTGTTTTGCAGGGTGGGAAGATCCCCATAAGGTGGACAGCCCCAGAAGCAATTGCCTACAGAAAATTCTCCTCGGCAAGTGACGCGTGGAGCTACGGGATTGTCATGTGGGAGGTCATGTCCTATGGAGAGAGACCTTACTGGGAAATGTCTAACCAAGATGTAAGTGCCTCCCACAGTTACACTGCCATTTTGTGAGTGTAAACACATTAGTGCTGAGGGGGAAATGTGCCTTTTGCCCTCACTCAGATTAACCCTTATCTTCGCCAGAGTTGCTCAGGGTCTGTGGCTGAGTTTGAGAAGCTGAGTAACCTTTCGCTTGAGCTGTGTTTGGTGTTGTAAGGGCCCGCGGACTGGCCTGGCCACATCAGTACCTGGTCTGCATCTTACAGCTGAGATTCCCACATGTTGTTCTAATGCATCATGACTGTGCTTCTGCAGCAGCCTTCACCTATAAGGAACAAAAAAGAAAGAGTACTGTTTGCCTTTCATTTCTTCCTTGGGGCAATTTAATGCACCACGGTAGGGAGCAAATTAATTTAGACTAGACATCACTTAGAAGAAAAAGAGCGAATGCTTTCAGGCAATGTGCTATCAATATATGTCATCTACTTTTCAGATATGTGATCCTCTATGCAATCTGCTCTTTTCTCTGTAAAAATTACCTGGTGGTTAATGTTATGGAACAGGATGGTTAACACACCTCTGACCTCTATGACCTGTCCAAAGTGATAGACAGAAGTCAGAAAATGCAAGCACACTGACAATGCAAAGTGTACCATCAGAACGGAAAATATATTTAATTTCCCCCTTCTTCACTGCAGAGTTCAGACTCTGTCCACTCACTTGCCTCCCTCAAGGGCTCTCACGGTTTCTGAGACAATGGCAAAGGGAAATTGCCTCCAACGCAATTCTGAATGTTCACAGGTGAAAACAGAGACCACGTCACTATAGAAAATCCCCAAACACACTCAGAACGCAACTATTGCCACATCTTTTCCCTTTGTTCCAGTCAGTTGCTTGAGCGGCACCTCCACGCCTCCCACCTCTCTACCCCATCCCGACCTCAAGTTGTCCACGTATCGCAAGGACTTGTTCAGTCACAGAGGCAGGTCCTCCTTTTCTACTGCCAGGCACAGAGTCTGGCTTTGGGTTAGCTCACCATGGCTCTTGTTCCTCCCTACCACAAGACATGGCTTTCGAAGCTGGGTGCTGCTCAGTCCTGAGGGTGCTGCTGTCTCCGTGGAGAATGTGGGGTCCAGACACCCACGTGCAGCAGGTTTGAGTCATGCACATGCTCAGCCATCGCTCTCAAAGCACCTCAGCCAAGTGCACAGCCAGCGGGGCTGGGTCCCGCAAAGAAGCTGCCCTTCAGTGCAGAGCAAGCGTAGCCAGCAACCTCCACTCCACTCCCGGCGCCGAGACTTCGATCCAGGCCGTCTGCCTGCAGGCCTGGGTTCCACTATTCTTCAGGCAATTTTATTTGAAGGGCCTCTTCCCTGCCACCCGGCCTTGTTTGGGGCAACTTGTGACTGCCTCTCCAGCTCTTCTTAAAATTGAATCTCAGAAGCAGAAATTTGTCCCCTCTCTCCTAGAAGAAACTCATCTCTTTTTTTGTTTTTTGTTTTTTTGTGTGTGTGTGGAAGATTGGCCCTGAGCTAACATCTGTGCCAATCTTCTTCTATTTTATGTGGGATGCCGTCACAGCCTGGCTTGACAAGTGGTGCTATGCCCATGCCCGGGATCTGAACCTGTGAAACCCAGGCCACTGAAGTGGAGCACATGAACTTAACCACTACACCACCAGGCTGGCCCCTCATCTTGATTTTTTTAACCAGTTATCCGAGATGACAGTAGCCTTGGATTCACGTACCATAGTTTCTGCTCTAGTCCAACCCTAGGACAGCGCTTACCTACTTGTCTTCTTCGACACGGCTAAAATGGGCCATTCAAGCAAATCTGCAGAAGACAAAGTTGTCTTCCTGATGGTTTCAAGTCTTCACGGTACGGAAGAGCCCTCCCGTCAAGCACCCTCCTCGATGGGTGCACCATTTAGTCCTTGTCTTAACCAATTCCCTTTCAGATTTATAATTAAAAATTGCCCAACTCAGAAGGCTCCAAACTTTACTAATAATATAGCCTTACCAGCAGAAGGTTCTTGAGCATTCACAGCTGACGAGTGCATTTCCTTGCACGTCTGTACAAGTACTACTGTACTAATATAGTCGTTTATTCACTTAAAAATATTCACTGGAGGGGCTGGCCCCGTGGCCGAGTGGTTGAGTTCGCGCGCTCCACTGCAGGCGGCCCAGTGTTTCGTTAGTTCGAATCCTGGGTGCGGACATGGCACTGCTCATCAGACCACGCTGAGGCAGCGTCCCACATGCCACAACTAGAAGAACCCACAACGAAGAATACACAACTATGTACCGGGGGGGCTTTGGGGAGAAAAAGGAAAAAATAAAATCTTTAAAAAAAAAAAAAAAAATTCACTGGATCCCTTCTCTGTGCCAGGAACTAGAGCTGCAACAGAAAACAAATGTTACACCTGGAAGGGACCGTAAAGGTTGTCTAGTCCACCCCCAGTCCAAGTTGGGCATGAAACTGAGGCATGGGGAAGCGACGTGATCTCGCTAGAATCAGTAGTGAGTGATGGTGGAAGTAAGGCTGACGGGAGCCAGGAGGGAAGGGGGAGGGGCTGCTGGTTTGGCTGACAGCCCGAGTAGCCCCCACCTGGGGCCGGTGGTGTCTTGTCCTCATGGAGCCTACATTCTAGCGAGAGGGAGGCAGAGTAAACAAAGTAAATAAGTAAAAGATATGGGTTGTAACATGATAATCACTGCTTCTTCAGGGGAAAAAAGCAAGAGAAGAAGATGAGAAGTGCTAGAGGTTTGATTTTAAATGTCATATGCACTGCCAAACACATTCATGAAAGTCATACGTTTATGGTCATAAAAGTCCTAATTTGTCATTCCTATTAGATATTCATGTGTAGTCTGTCTTATGATAGGATGACACAAATAAACACGGAGAAGTTCCATCATTTTTGCTGCCCCTGGAATAGCACTTTACTGCCTGGGTCACATCATGCCACCAAGTTAGTGGCTCTGGCTGCTGTTATGTAGACTATAATTCAACCATGAAAGTCTCTTAACTAAGACCTCAGTTTCGTGACCAATAAATACAATAAAAGGATGGCTTAGGTGATTTTTAATATCCCTTTTAACAGTAACATGCTATGGTTTTATAATCTCTGGAGGAACGGTTATCATCCTTGTCTCAGCAAAGGAATGATGCAGATGTTGTTTTCTGAAGTTTAGGACATTACTGAATCCATGGAGGTGCGGGAATAGATGGGACTTCCACAGAGCAGAGAGGGGACAAGCAGAGATACCAGAGCACAGGACAGATTTTTCAGGAGCGCGGCCTCGAAGGGAAAAAGCCCAAATGTGTAGTTTCCAGCGTAGACCACCATGTGAATCATTCCTAACTGTTGCCTGGAGTGGTCCAAGCCCTATTGTCAACCCCTCCCTTCCTGGATCTTGTCCAGCAGTTTGCCCAGCCATCTTGGCCCTGTGTATTGATGATCTGTGTCCAAGATGACCACTTAGAGAGCCATTCTGTCTATTAAACCTCATTTGGCCATGAAGGCTATATCTGGAACCAGAAGGGGCTGCTGCGGCCAGGAGTAGACTCCGCCTTAAGCCCATTCTCATTCGCTCAGGATTGCCAGCGCCCACAGCACAGGCTGAACGCTCCCTCCCCCGAGAGCTTGGATGGCCCTGGAGGGCCAGGTGGGAGCCAAGCTGGTGATTTCCATGGGCTTTGAGTGGTTACCAAACAATATTCAAGCGAGAATCTGAAATAAGAGGAAAATAAAAAGTTCTGTGGGGAAAAAACAAAAAAAACAGATCTTTGAGGTCATCGATCAGTAGGAGACTAGGGGAAAGTAGTAGGAGCTAAAATCTTTTGTGTATCTTGTGAATATTTTTTTGCTGCTGCAGTAAAGAAAGTTGGAATTCTGTTTAGCTTAACATATTGGAAGTCAGCATATCTGTGACAGATCCTGTAACCAGAACCTCTGTTTGGAAGCAGAAATAGCTTAATCGAAGCTTTCTCAGCTGCCCCTCTCCAGCACTGGTTAGTCCCCATTTGTCCTGCATTTCTCATCTGTTTGGTCAGAGTATAGTCTTAGGTTTGACTTTCTGCAACCCAAGTGCATTTAAATAAGGAAAGGAATGTTTTGGGCCATAAAAATTCAACTATGTTCTGTTTCAATATTTTCTATTTTTACTACATTTTGGTGAATTTAACTAAGCTGTGGGCCTTGCTAAATATGGCATGTTAACATGTCTTATATTTTAAATGAGTTTGGGAAATTTCAGATAGTTTTTATTAAATAGCCCCTCCATTCTTCAGACTGTGGCATATTTTTATTACAGTTGTGAGTTTGCAGAATCTATTTTAGTGAGTAATATAATGAATTTCCCAAAAGTCAATGGTCTCGTACATTAGGGAAAGGAAATGAGAGAAGCCAGAGTGTGTGGGACACACCATGAAAGCCCTCACAAGATAACAGCCATCCCGCAGTTGCTTACTGACACAGTGGCTGGACCAGGTGTGCATGCGGGTGGGCACGGAGAGCTGGAAAACCCAGTCGTCACTCTCAGAGAGCCCGCTGTGCAGGGGAGGAGATGAAGTCTGCTCCCTGCCCCGACGTGGACGCATAGACTGTGCACTCCTCAAGTGTTGGCTTCTATCTTTTTTTAACTGAAACAACATGGTGTGAATGCAAAATAGTTATTTTTTAAAATGTATGCCAAAAAGACGTGTATACTCTATTGTTCAGGGTTCTTTTGATTATAAATGGCAGAAACTCAACCCAAACTAACTTAAGTAAAAATCAACTTTTTTGTTCATGAGACTAAGAAGGTAGTTTAGTGATTCTGGATCCCAGGGTTCTTGCAGGATCTTTAATGCTTCCCTAGGTCCACTGACCTCATTTTTTCCTACTGCAAAGGCCTTCTGTGCTATTTTCTTTAGGCTGCAGGGCTCAGCATGCCAGCTTAGCAGCTTCAGCAGAATGAGACCTTCTCTCTGAAAATTCATATACCAATCCCAGAGAAGACTCTGGCTGGCTCTGTTAGGGTCCTGCCCAACCC